GCATATTTGTATATGTTGTTCAATGTGATGTTCATCCTTGCTTGCTTGAGCGAAGAACTATGGTCGAGATGCGCTTGTGGCGGTTGCTACCCCACACTTCTTTTCCTCCCATTTTCTTCGACGACTGATGGTCGACGGTTGTAGAGGATTGTCTTCTCCCGTTACATCTCATCCGCTCATTTTCTTTTTGCATTTGCGTGATCATATTTGCTTCAATCTTTGCATGTGCATTTCATCTTGTGTTTTGCATCTTTGTTTGCTCCAAAGGGGTTGAGATGTGCTTGTGGCGGCTACTGCCCCACACTTTGTTCCTCCCTCTTTGCATGTTTTCTTCGTGTATGCGTTTTCTACTTGTGATTGGTCCTTCCTTTGTTCTTCTTGTGCTTTTTTCCATGATCCCCATAGGATTCCTAGTCCCTCTGTTTAGGATGGGAGTAGGAGAGACATTAGGTGTTCAATCCAAGCATGCTAACATTAGGGTAGATGTTCCCCCTTCTCATCCACACTTTAGTACCACTTTGCATGACAACGTTAGGGCCGAGTTTCCCTTAGACCTTCCGTGTGTCTCTCTTTCTCATCTTAAAACAATTCTAATCCATCTAGTAAAGGCGATAAACATTGTGCACTACGAGCCTTAAGCTACATGGGGAATGATGAGTGAGGGGTCTCCTCTCGCTTATCTAGGGTGTTTAGTATACGTCTCGTTTGGGGGAGATATACGACGCATTCACCTCCATGTCATAGTCTTTAGTGCAACGTGAATCACAAACCGAATTAATTCACTTCACTAAAAAACACAAAACAAATTTCAAACCTTTTTCCTTCGGGATTAATCAGAAACCTTTTTTCAGAAAAGAGTGTTGTTAAGCTTCGGTTCTACCACAAACAGGCTTAGTCCCTAACTTCTGGAACAGAGGTTTAACCTTACTCGATTAAAACACTTAATCAACCTATGGTTTCGTGTCAGCCCGAACTACGTTTGCTCTGATCTTTCATACCAGATGAAAGTACGTAGGCACAAGACGCGATGTCTTGGCGAGCAACCTTCCCCCTTTCTCCCGTAGTTAGCCGAACTACGTTGACTTTGACTTTCCCATTGCATGAGGGAATACGTAGGCACAAAGTGGCGATGCTCTGCCGAGTCTCCTTTCTTTTTTTTCTTTTGTCCTAAAGCCTGTAGCTTAGATAGTTTAAACACACCCTTAGATAGACAACAAGCGTGGATCCCATCGAGTACGACGGACGTGAGGGGTGCTAATACCTTCCCCTTGCGTAACCGACTCCTGAATCTAGGACTTGGTTGCGATGACCTTGTCTTTTCCCTTTTCGTCAGGTTTTTTCGATCGTTTCCTTTCCCTCTCTATGGGATAAATAACGAAAGGTGGCGACTCTTCTGTTTTCTGCCGGATGTTTTACGCAGTTGCGACAATAAGGGAAAGTAGTTATCACTAGTAACTACCAGCTATGCACTATTATGTATCACTAACAGGTAGAGAGTAGCTACCAATAGTAGGTTTATGTATCATATTCATCTTAGTGATAGATTTAGCTGAGACTTACCATCTCTATATAACTAGTTAATTATATTTATGGTAACAAATTGACACATGACATTAATTTTAGCATCTTTGTCACGCTGACATTTTCATGTGTACAATTAATTATGAAAAAAAATACACTTAACATGTCACGTTAGTTTATGTTTATAGACATTAATAAGAGGATCTAAAGTGTAGATGAAAAATATTAAAAGGATTATGATTTAAAAAAAAAAATTAGATTATATAAGGGATTATATATATATATATATATATATATATATATATATATATATATATATATATATATATATATATATATATATATATATATATATATATATATATATATATATATATATATATATATATATATATATATATATATATATATATATATATATATATATATATATATATATATATATATGGGTGGCAAAACGGGCCCCGACCGTTGGACGTGCCCGTTTTACCCGCACTTTAGTGTCGGGTGAGTCAAGGGTTTAGACCCTCACCCTTTAAAGTGTTAGTTCCGTCCCGTCCTATTCTTTTCGCGGGCTTTAGCAGGCACAAACATTTATATAAAATTTTGTATTTTTAGACTTAAAAGATGCGATGTCCGCGAGCTCCTCCGCCCTCACTTTTTTGCGGGGTGGACCTAGGTTTTAGGTGCGCATTGTAACACCCTTCTAAACTCTGCGAAATAAATAATAAATAATCAGAGTAATTATCATGCATCTCACAAAATTGTGTCACATAAAATTTCAAAACATTACACAAACACTTGTCATGCTCAATAACACTTAAAATAGATTCATGTTTTTCATACACTTTCACATTAGCATGTAGCAACGGATTTACTTTAATCATGATAGACATAATGAAAGTCTCATGCTCATCTCATTCATTTTTAATACTTAGGCTTAAAAGCCAATACTTCATATAATTCAAAATAACAATAACAAAATGAAGTAGAGTACATAAAGTATCTCTCAAAACATGAAATCGAAACATTCCCCAGTGTTACATAATCAGAGCATGACTCGACCCAAATAAATAAAGACATAATTCAAGCTACTCCAACAGTTATCTCGTACTAGAAGCAACTCTACTCCTTGGTACCTGAGCGATGTCGTATAAAACATCATTCCAACAGAATGGTGAGAATTCACATAATTATTGAAATTATAAGATAATAATTAATCTAAGGCATACAAGCATAATTCAATTATTCTCACACTTCAAAGTTTCATCAACAAAGTGTCATTCAAGTAACTATACTATTCACTAGTATATACCCACAATCCACAATTTCACCAATTTCAACAATTCACATAGATACACATAGTCTCATAGCACAAACATATACACAATGAGACTCAATGCAAAACTCAATGCAACTCATGCCATGTGATACCAACACTTGTTATTATTTTTCGGTTTTTACATTTAAATTGGGTCCGTTCCCTAGACCAATAACACACAAAAGCCCATTCCCTAAGCTTTCAAACCCCGCTATAGGTTTGAGACAAGTCACTAGCTCCCACGGAACTAACAAACATTGCCTCTTGACACAAATGATGCGTATGCAAATTAACAATCATATGCAATTAAGACCATACACAAATCTTAATATCCACACATATCTTCAATAATTCATCATACTTGAATTATCACACATTTGCACGTACACAAGCATTAACACAATCCAACCTCAATTCACAAAACACACATCACTAATTAAATATAGAATAGTTAATCAATCACTAATAATTAAAAAAAAATCAATATTCAAATAAATATTCACTACTCAATAAATATTCAACAATTATTCAATATTCAATAAATAATTAAATATTTTAAATAAACAATCAATATTCAAATAAATAATTAATTTTTGAATAAATAATTAATATTGAATAATTAACTAATACTTTTAATAAGTGATCGATATTTAACAAACAATCAATATTTTAATATAATTCTAATATTTTAATATAATTCCAATATTAACAAGGTTTCAATAATTAATCATTAATGTAGTTTGAATATTTAAATAGATATTTAGCAATTACTAAAGTTCTACTACCTAACTTATATAATTACTACAGGGACCAATTAATAATACTCACTTTGTTTCTAACCATTAACATAAATAATTTCAGCTAGCATAACCACAAATGTTTCACAGTCACATTTTATATACGGTATGGTTAACCGTCGCCAATTCTAACTAGTTTCATTAAAATTAATAGATAATATGGTAGATTCATAAATGAAATTGCATTATGTGTATTCATGTGATTACAGTGTTAATAATAGATTATAGTATAATTTGAATAGTTGTTTTTTTTATAAAAAAATTTTTGATCATAATCATGTACCAGTAGTTTATATTCTGATTTATGCAACTAAAGTATGAAAAGATTTACAACACTGAATGCGTGTGATTCACCCCAGTTCACAGTGTGTCGTAAAGGTAATTTTCTAGAGCTTTTAAAAAAAGAACATAATAAAAGAAAGAGAGATAATATGATAAATTGTTTAACCACCAACCAAAATTCAAAACCATCACATTCACCAACAAGCAACTCTAACGGTCATCGAGCACACCAATACGAAATTTTTTCTCTCCTGTCATATTTTTACTAAATATTTTTTTAAATGCCACACTTTTAGACATATATACCAGAATGCCACACTTTTAAATATTGGTTGAAGGTTGTCACCAATTCATTAAACGGTAATGTCTAAATATAAAGGGTGCCGCCCATTGGCAGAATCCAACACATTTTTTTTTTACTTTTTCGTTTTATTTTTGTTTTATTTATATTAATATATATAATAATATATATTAATAATATAAATATAATAAATATGAATATTATTAATATTTATTTATATTAATATTATTATTATTAATATTAGTATTAATAATATTTATTTTATTTATATTATTAATATATATTATTATATATATTAGTATTAATATTTATTAATATTTGTATTAATAATATTATTAATATTAATATTATTTAGACATACTGTTAATATTAATATTAATAATATTTATTATATTTATATTATTAATATATATTATTATATATATTAGTATTACTATTTATTAATATTTGTATTAATAATATTATTAAGACATAATGTTAATATTATTATTAATATTTCAATATATATATTAATATTATTAATATTAATATTTATTAATATTATTAAGACATAATGTTAATATTATTATTAATATTTCAATATATATTTTTTAATATTTATTTAATTGATATCAATAATGTTAATATTATCTTATTAATATTTATTTATATTATCAATAATATTAATACTAATATAATTAATTAATGTATAATATCAAATTATATTTTTTAATACATAATTTATATTAATTGATATCATTAACTAATATTATTTAATACATGATGATTAATAAAAACACTAACGATTACTTGTTCCCACATTGGGACACCTGGTTCGATCGTGGCCTGTTTGACGACACATTGAACATTTTCTCTCAAGCTTATCAAAGTTATCCATTTCCGTTGTAATACGTGTGCTCACTGGGCGACCTTTCTTGTTCCTCTGCATTCTTGGATTATGGCAAATTTGATCTCCTTCATAAACGGGCCAATATTCATCGTACGACAGCACTGGAAAGCTTGTGCTGTAAATCCCAAACAGGTTTGTAACCCTATAAACGTCGGACAAAAAGAGCGTAAGCGTCGTGGCGCACATTTGAACATGCAACGATAACATGTGAGCAAGGGACACAAAATGCTTGAAACTTTCCGCAGTCACACCATCCGTTCAAGAGGTCGACCTTATAATGTCCCATAGGCTTCCCCTCACCATGGTCCGTTGTCTCCTTCACACTGAAAACATTGTTAGCCTAGTCAAAAATTCTGACTTGATGTGTGCTGGATTTTGTTGTTTCTTCTTTCATCACCTTGAGGCAGTTGTCTGTAAATGTTTGGCCAGAATTTAACACATCACTCCACTTTGAACCCCGTTCAGCAAATAAAGATCCCAGTCTATAATATGTTGCACTTACCAATGCTGTAATGGGCAAATTACATGTGCCTTTAAAGACAACATTCATTGACTCGACAAGGTTGGTAGTCATATGACCCCAACGTCGACCCCCGTCAAATGCCCTTGTCCATTTTTCGGCTGGAATATTGTCAATCCACCTTAAAGCATCTGCATTTGCCATGCCAATCTATGATTGATAGTAATGAAATGTTGGTTGGTTTAAAGCGTACCCTGAATAATTAAAATATCAGTCAACAAAGGACAAAGAAATAATATATGTTATTGACAAAATTTAATGAATATTATGAAATATAGTTACCCATGTTAATTATTTTTTTCCGTAGGTTCCTGTCCTTGATTTCTCTCATAAAATTTTGTGCAATGTGTCGGATACAATAAACATGCACTGATGGAGGATCATGCCAACCATTTTCCACGTTGTTGTATGCACTTTCAATTGATGCATGTCAGTCTGAAATTAAACATAGATCTGGTTGTGGCGCAACATTGCATCTTATGTAAGTTAATTCATATTTATTTATATAATTTACGCATGATGTTACTTATTTTGTAATGTTAGTTACATTCTCTCACGTTAGTTACATTCAAATAATTTACTTAAGATGTTACCTTTTTTAAATGTTAGTTACATTCTAATAATGTTAATTAAAATATTTTTTTTGTAGGATGAAAAAAGTTTCAAACCACGCTCACATAAGTATATAGATCCTGATGAGGTTATCAAACCGTATTTGATTCAAGCGGGTTTCGGTCACGTCATCAAAATAACATCATATGAAATTGATCGCAAATTTCTTCTCACGTTGTGCGAAAAATGGCGACGCGAAACCCACACTTTTCACCTCCCCACAAGGGAATGCACAGTGACACTTGAGGATGTCCACATGTTGTTGGGTCTCCGTGCCAATGGGTTAGCGGTTGTGGGTGACACAAACGTTAACTATGGATTAATGGAACAACTGTTGGGGGTGCCTTTGGAACGAGGTGATAGGAAGGGGCAAAGCCTAAAAATCACATGGCTAAAAAGAATTTACGGTGCTTTGAACCTAACCGATGAGTCTCCCGAGGAACACAAAATTTATAAGACTAGAATTTATTTACTAGTGTTTTTTGTGTTGGACTTTCAACTAGGGAGCATTGAACATACTGGGACTTTTTTCTAGAGCAACCTTTGTGAGAGACACACCACATACTCACCCAAAACCTTAAGGTTTTGGGTGAGTATGTGGTGTGTCTCTCACAAAGGTTGTTCTAGAAAAAGTCCCACTATGTTCAATGCTCCCTAGTTGAAAGTCCAACAGTGGTATCAGAGCCTTTGGTTCGAATAAAGGGAACGACTTACTTGTATCGAAAGTATCCTAATGTCAACGGCGGTACAAGGGTGCAGTTGCACAGTTAAAGTTTCCACTTAAGGGAGAGCATTGGGATAGACTCACACTTGAGGGAGAGTGTTAAGTATTAACAAGTGTGAGTAGGGTGGATAATAGTCCCACATTGGATAGAAATGTGGTGACTTGAGCATTTATAAGTGAGAGAACCCATACACCTATCACCTTAAGGTTTTGGGTGAGTATGTGGTGTGTCTCTCACAAAGGTTGCTCTAGAAAAAAGTCCCACTATGTTCAATGCTCCCTAGTTGAAAGTCCAACAGTGGTATCATGAGCCTTTGGTTCGAATAAAGGGAACGACTTACTTGTATCGAAAGTATCCCAATGTCAACGGCGGTACAAGGGTGCAGTTACACAGTTAAAGTTTCCGCTTAAGGGAGAGCATTGGGATAGACTCACACTTGAGGGAGAGTGTTAAGTATTAACAAGTGTGAGTAGTGTGGATAATAGTCCCACATTGGATAGAAATATGGTGACTTGAGCATTTATAAGTGAGAGAACCCATACACCTATCACCTTAAGGTTTTGGGTGAGTATGTGGTGTGTCTCTCACAAAGGTTGCTCTAGAAAAAAGTCCCACTATGTTCAATGCTCCCTAGTTGAAAGTCCAACAGTAATTATCAAGAACAACAAAAGAGAAGAAGAATAACAAACAAGAAAGAGAAGAATGAGAGAATAAGTATTTGGAGAGAATGTGTTACCCACAACTGTGGGATTTCTTATTGAACTTTCACTTGCTAACTGCAACTGTGAAATCTGTTCTGTTGTGATGTAGAATATAAAGCAAGGCACCCTATTTATAGTTTTAGGTTTACACTAGCCCAAAACATAAAAGGCCCAAAATATTCTAAATCAAATCTAATCATATGATATCAAATCTAATCATATGATATCAAATCTAATCATATGATATCTAATCATATCATATCAAATTAATCATATGATATCAAATTAATCATATGATATCAAATCTAATCATATGATATCAAATCTAATCATATCAAATCACAATGAATTATATTTAACACACCACCTAATTCATTGTGTCTAAACTGTCTACATTCATCATGGCCCTTAGTCTTCTGAAGGCTTCGACCTGCACTCCCTTCGTCATGATATCTGCAATCTGATTCTCAGTTCTGCAGTGTTCCAACTTCATCTTCCCTTCTGCTACCTGCTCTCGAAGATAATGGAACCTCATTTCGATGTGCTTGCTTCGACTATGAGCTATTGGATTCTTTGCCAAGTTGATAGCTGACATTCTGTCTATCTTCATGGTAATTGCTCCATGGTTCTTCCCTGTGATTTCTTCGACCAAGTTCACCATCCAAGTTGCTTGACATGCACAAAGGGAAGAAACTATATATTCTGCTTCGCATGATGATAATGCCACCACTGGTTCCTTTCTCGAATTCCAAGCAACTGGTGCACCGCCTAACATAAACACATATCCAGCTGTGGATTTTCGATCCTCAGCATCACTACACCAACTGGAGTCTGTGTATCCCACTAACTTGCATTATTTTCCTTCATCAGCTGCTGGAAACAAAATGCCATAGTCGAGAGTTCCTTTCAGATACCTTAGTATCCTCTTCGCCGTTGCTAGGTGTGATACCTTTGACTTCTGCATGAATCTACTTACCATACCAACACTGTATGCTAAGTCTGGTCTTATGTGACAAAGGTATCTAAGTGACCCAATAAGTCTTCTGTATTGGGTTGGGTCGACATCATCTTCATATGAATCCTTCAACAGTTGTAATCTGGGCTCAGCTGCATTGACTGGTTTGATGGACTCCAACTCTTCAATCATTGCTTTCATCCACTTCGAATCTTTTAATGCCTCAGCTGCATTGACTGGTTCGACATCTGTGTAGAAAGCATAATGTACCAACTCACCCTCTTCATCGACTACATCATATGATGTAATTACACATTCTTGCAACCTTGCAGGCATATGTCTTGTTCGTTGAGGTCTGCTTGAACCTGCTTCATCTGCAACTGGTTCCTGTCGAACTTCTATTTCGACTTCAGTGGCTGGTTCTTCACAAGATATTCTCACTGAATCCTTCTTGGCATTCTCAGTCCAATTTCATTCTTTAAGCTCATCTATGATCACGTCCCTGCTGATCACTACCTGCTTATTCACCGAGGTCGAACAACTTGTACCCTCCTGTCGAATGATATCCTATCAAGATCATCTGATTTGACTTATCATCAAGTTTCCTTCTCAATTGATCTGGCACATGTCTATGTGCTATAGATCCAAACATCTTCAAGTGACTGAGACTAGGCTTGACACCAGACCAACATTCTTCTGGTGTGATTCCTTCAAGCTTTTTCGTCGGATATCTGTTCAATATATATGTTGCTCTGTTGGACTTTCAACTAGGGAGCATTGAACATAGTGGGACTTTTTTCTAGAGCAACCTTTGTGAGACACACACCACATACTCACCCAAAAACTTAAGGTTTTGGGTGAGTATGTGGTATGTCTCTCACAAAGGTTGCTCTAGAAAAAGTCCCACTATGTTCAATGCTCCCTAGTTGAAAGTCCAACAGTGGTATCATGAGCCTTTGGTTCGAATAAAGGGAACAACTTACTTGTATCGAAAGTATCCCCATAGGTCGTGGGTTGAGTGTCTCGTTGAAGAATGTCAACGGCAGTACAAGGGTGCAGTTGCACAGTTAAAGTTTCCGCTTAAGGGAGAGCATTGGGATAGACTCACACTTGAGGGAGAGTGTTAAGTATTAACAAGTGTGAGTAGGGTGGATAATAGTCCCACATTGGATAGAAATATGGTGACTTGAGCATTTATAAGTGAGAGAACCCATACACCTATTACCTTAAGGTTTTGGATGAGTATGTGGTGTGTCTCTCACAAAGGTTGCTCTAGAAAAAGTCCCACTATGTTCAATGCTCCCTAGTTAAAAGTCCAACATTTTGCATATTTTTTATTTCCTGATACTAATGGTAATACTATTCATCTTCAATATTACCATTATTAGAAGATTTAAGTCAAGTAGGTAGTTATAGTTGGGGCGCTGCTACATTAGCGCATTTGTACAGAAATTTGTGTAGATGCGCAATGAAAAATGTGCATAATTTTGCTGGTTGTGGTGTTTTGATTCAAGCCAGGGGATGGTCCAGAATACCGAGATTGTTGCCTCTCAACCCCAATCCATACCACTTTCCATACGCAACCAAGTAAGTATACAAATTTTATGTATATATTCTTTTCATCTATAATTTTTACTAATTATTTCTTTCATAGGTGGTCCGCGTATGAGATGAATTACGAAAAAACTCCACAT